ACTTTTTGGAATTCTGGTTAAAATAATCAAATGTTAATTAGAACGTTTTTTTTAATTAATAGGTAAGAAAGTTTGTATGTTATCAACCAAATAAATGTTTATTTATCCCAAACATTTCTCTCGATGCAACACCTAATACATAATTATTTCCAAAATCTTTATAGAGAAAAATATCTGGTTGAGAGAAAATGGGAATCAGAAGAGATTTTGATTGATAATCATTCAGAATTTACTTCAACTAGGATTTTGGTAGATTTAACTGGAAAATTCCAATTTGCCCATTTTCAACGAGAATTTCAATTAATCCAACCGGACATTTTATCTGTGTCGTTCTGGAAAAGAAAAATAAAAAGTATTACCCAGAAGTCTTAAAGTTCATTATTTTTACATTTCTCTATCTCGTAAGAATAAAGATAAGGAATAAATAAATAAGGATATAAATAAGGATGTAAATTTAACTATGTGCATACTATTGAAAAAAATAATTGTAAAAATAAAATTTGTTTAGAATGTAGTATACCTACCTGTAAGTTAAAGGTTAAAATTAGAATACAAAAAGTCAGGTTTAATGCTCAATTAACGACTGCACTCGTCCATTACGAGTTTACAGGAACAGATGTATTTGACGTGTGAAATGTAATTTGCGTTTCTAAGCTATTCCCAGCAAAGCTATAAATGAATAAATATATGTATACAGAGACGAGGTGCGCGCATCGGAATAAATTACTTTATCGGCGAGGGCAAATTTATCAGTAATGCAAGAATGATTCCGATTACGTAACGATAGTCTGTTTAATGGGCTGATATCGTATTTGTCGCGATTAAACGGATAAGCACATATCTGGTGTGATTTCGTGCGTTACGTTCAACTTTGGTGTCAAAGTTGTACATTCCAACGCGCGAGGGAAGTTTGGGAAATAGTTTCCCGTTAACGTCGACGTAACTACGCGGACTTTACCGTCGTACAAGGTTTGCGGAATAACGCTACCGGATAACGTAGTAAGCAAAATCGCTTTCGATAAGCGCGATGAATTATATAATTCAGATACACGAAGCTGTCTGAGCCACCTCCACTGCGTCTCGCTGCTGCGATTAGAAATGTATAAATAATAAAACGTAACACGAAGCGGTGATATATGAGAAACGAGACATTATTACTTTACTAGGTATGTCGCGTACATTGATCATTTATTTACGCTTCATACCTCATCCGTTTGGTGATAATAGCATCGACATTTAATTTTATTACCATGGCGTACGCTATTTTACACTTTTTACGCCACACATGATACTGCAGTTTCTTTTATATTCTTCAGATTAATGAAATTATAATGACACACTGATTAGTGACGCGATATGAAACACATATATGATTTAATGAACCTTTTCGACATGCTTTACTGGATTTGAAACAGTGTTTGCTACGTTATCCATATGCGTAAAGATAGAATTGTTCTTATAGTATCAATTTTTTAAAAAGGAATAAATTGAAAGCGCCAATCAATTGAACTTGACGCAGAAAAGTTAATAGCAATAAATCTATTTATAAGATAAATGTACCAGCAGACAGACATGACAAGAGAGCAATTATTGGACAAAATGACAATTTTTATGAAACTCTTAATAATACACATACGGCTCTAAATAAATGTTTATAAACGAATGAATTTATTTAGAGTCGTATCATTAACAAGCTTAGTATTTAAAATTGTTGTCATTTCGTTCTATAATGATAATAATTGAATCATGTCAATCCATTCTAATTGGTACATCTACACTGAGAAAAAAAAACCCTAAATTTAAATAAATATTTATTTGAATACTGTCAACTGAGCATTTACTTACAATAGATAAATATGTACTTAATAAAAAGAAGTAATTGTTGAATCAAATAAATGTTTTTTTTTTTATGTCAAAAATAAATATATCTTTATATTTAATAAATATTTAGTTGGCACTATTCAAATAAATATTAATTTAAATTTAGGATATTTTTTTCTCAGTGTATCTTCATAGTAATAAATGCAGCATCTATAAGAATGCATCTGTAGACACCAAAGTTGAGCGAATTTTGCACCGTATCTTAACTTCGATAAGCGTTTGTAAATTGAAATACGTGGACTGTGAAACGTCTGTGTATGAATGAGATTTAGAGGGAGAGCCTCTAGGATTCGAAGGACTCGGGAATACGACTGAGGGACACAGCGCAATACAATCGGTGATAAGCGTATGTAAACAAGAAGTCAAGCCGGAACGCGGCATGCTTGGAGTTATTTATAGAAACCGATTATTGTGCAACAAACGCGGCTTTACGTAACGCGTACGGCGGCACTACATGCCCCGGCTCTGTCGGTCACTCGGCTGTACACAAAAGGACACACTTTCCTCGCGCACCTTCCTGCTTCTTTGTTCTATACGATCGTTGGACTCGTGAGACCAAAAACACATACAGACCGCGCACGGTCGCACGAAGACGTAAAAAGTGACTAGGCATACTTCTCTCAGCGGACCGAACGCGACGTGTCAGCTTCATTCGTAGGACAACGAAATCACTATCTACAATATATTAGGTGTAGTAAAAAGTCATCGCGTATTTTTTAGCTCAAAGTTGTATATACAATATCTTCGTCAATAATGAATAAAATTCAAATTTAAAAAAAGGGTTTTAAAGCTTGAAATCTCTACTTTTAAAAGCTTCTCACATTTTTTAAGTTTATATGAGTTTGATAATTTTTACATACCAAAAAGTACGAGCTGAAAAAGACGAAAAATTTTCTTCTCACTTTGTGGATTTGTAACGTGTCCAAAACGAATTTGAGAAAACTACAAAATCGTTTTTTTTTAAATATTCCTACGACTTTTGATTACTGAGTTATCGCGGATTAAATAAAAGAATTATTTTGACTTTAATTGCTCATAACTCCATTAAAAATTGTCGTATCGTATAATTTAAAAAAGAGATTTTTAAAGCTGAAACTTTACTCTATCAAGATATATTTATATTGTTGATAAGAAAGTAATTGCGGTTTTTACTGATAGATGTCTTTTAAAAATACGCGATGACTTTTTACTACACCTAATATATGACGTTATAACGAGTTTATACATTTTATAAATAGCGATTTTATATAAATAATCTTTTCTCTCCATTGTCGGATATTACGAACTGTGAGATTTACATAACTATTTGTTGACGCATTGTAGTGTAACATGAATAACACGGTATAGATAAAGCTTACACACGAGAGGATTTTATAAATGTGAATTTTTTAAATCTTAATATACATATATGTGTCGAGTAGTGCACCGAAATACAAAAATATCAAAAATTGTGATATAAGACGTGTTTAAGTCGGCTTTTAGACGTAAAAGTCGTCTTATGACCGATTTTAGACACTTTTTGTCGTATTTGTCATATTTAAGATATGGAAATCAGGAAATACCAACTAATAATAATATAATATCAATATTAGAATTTTACACTCGATACAAATATAATATAACACATGATACATATTGCAGAATGCGAAATTATAACATTGATATTACTATTTTAATATCTTATATATTTTACACTTATATAGATGTAAAGTGCATAAGTTTTTTTAAAATACATAAATTTTCATCAACAAATCTAAAGTTACAAAAAACTCGAGCACGTAATGAAGTTCTTAGATACCTCTAATTTTGTAAAAAATAAAAACTTATGACGTATCCTAGACAACGCTGAAAAAAACAAATGTAACGAAAAGTACGTTTCGAAAGAAATAAGATAAAATTCTAATCCCAGCTAAGTGTTCCGTACAAGAAGCAAATAGCTACGTTCAACGGAAAAGGCAGTTTTGCACCTTTTATACGATTCTTTAATACAATCGATTTATATGTAATATATTTAGAGCAGCAAGAAGAATCAAGAGGAAGAATCAATCATACAGAATCTTACAATGGAATCGCAAAGATGCTTTATCCGCTGAAACGCAGACAATCCCTCCCTTCGATCTCCAACATACAAGACAAAGGATATTTCCTGATAAAATTATCAAGTTTTGCATTACGTAAGGGTGAAATGCGGATGCGCGCGCGGTAACGGAAGAAATGCCAGACGTCGCGAAAACGGGGAGGTGAGGCATCCGCCGCGTACGGAACGATGAACGGGCGGCGCGCGCCATGCTTGTTGGGCGTGAACGCATGGAGAGCGCGGAGATTCGCGAGAGTGCCGGTCCCCGATCCGATCCGACGCGGTGCGACGCGGCGCTACGCGTCCCTGCGTTTCCAGCGGAAAACGGCTTTCGGGGAGCTGGTCGCGGCTGCCGGCGGCGTAGCGTCACGATCCTACATACACATCGATGGCTACAGCAGAAGAAGCAGCAGCCAGCCAGCCAACCACCAGCGACAGATATCGGGCGCCGGCCGGCCGGCCGGCCGGCTTCAACACATTGATATTACCCGCGTTCTCTCTCTCTCTCTCTCTCTCTCTCTCCCCCCTCTCTCTCTCGCGGCTCGATACGTACGTACCTCGCGCGAGCCCGTTCAATGCCGATACACCGCCGCCCCAATGATGCCACGGCGGCAGCTACGTTACGCTCTCGCAAATCGCAAACAGGTTGAGGCGATAAACGGCTCGGGCACGACACTCTTTCGAGAGAGCCAATAAAGATCATTCGTCTCTCCTGCTCGGCTCCCCTCTCTCTCTCTCTCTCTCTCTCTCTCTCTCTCTCTCTCTCGCTCTGTCTTTCTCGCTCGCCTGTTCGATCTCACTCCGCTCTATTACGAAGCTGTACCGTACGTATAACCTCGTCGTGTCAAACGCGGGCACGGGGTATACGTGCATATATACACGATCACGCATACATAGATTCACATCGGTGTTCGGTACACTACACCATCACCACGCACACCGTTTTACTACCACTAATGAGCGGATCGTCCCTTTTTTTCTTTTCTCGAAAAAAAAAAAAAAAGAAAAAAAGAAAAAGGTATATATATGAGAAAGGACTTACCCGCACAGGTCAGTTTCCGGCTGATCAGTCGACTCGACGATTTCCTCGAGCAAAATCCGATCGATTTCACTACCAAACACTGACATATCTTGTCAGTCCGCGGCACCGAGAGTCCCCGCCGAGCGAATTTCACGTTTCCGACGGCCGTCGTCGCGGCTGGCGAAAAGACAACGGATCTCTCTCTTTCTCTCGCTCTCGCTCGCTTTTTCCTCCACGAATCTTCTAGTTATCGCTCGACACTTGGTTTTCCTCGCGCACTTCTTTCCTCGCTTTCTTTCTCGCCCCGCTGTCGATTCGCTCGCCTCCTTCACTCTCGTCGCCCGCGACACCGCGCACTCCTCTCCGGGGGCGGAGGAGGGGGACAAACAACGCGCGTTTTAACAAGCCGCGTCTACGCCTCGCGGGATGCACCGATCCACGTATATAACGCCGATTATTCGCCACTTCCGGCTCACGCCGTGTCTCGCGACGACCTCGTTTTCCTTCACCTCCAAGCAGACGCCGGCGACACGCACGGAAGATTCGTCCACGAGACAGCCACACGCTCCGCGCGGCGCGCACACACAACGCCCGAACGCGTTTGTAATGGCGATCTTTGGCGGGAAACAGCTGAGGGCCCCCACGGCGCCCCGTGGATCACTCCGCCGCCCGGCGTCAGGAGCGTAGCTATGCGGCTGGAGCTGGAACGACAGCGGCGGCGGCCACTTCTTTCTCCCACCGAAGGGCGTCACACGTCACGTTTTTCCTTCACTCGCGAAATGCACTTTCTTCTCTTGCGGTATCTCGCCGGACGGCTTCAATCTGTCCATTCGGATGATGTACAGCACATTAGAATGTTACGGTCTTAAAAAAAGCTTCTGAAACGCACCACTGGTCGATGACTCGCACGTATCTTTTTTTTTTTCTCCGTCGAATATTACACGACTCGTAGCCGGGAGCACTTACGTCAAGTTGCACTCGCGTCGAGTTGACATTCGTCCCAATCGATGTTCCGTGTATTTCAGTCCCTTCCACTAGTTCCACTTGTCGTGTCCCCGCACGAGGATTTTCGATACCGGTCCGATTAAGACGCGAGGATGTGCAGTGACGTTTCGCGAATCACTCGGAATTCACGTATGCCGGTAGGATCATCGCGCGCGAATTGATTCTCGTCCGCGCACGCGACAAGTCGGGTACGTTACGACGTAATCAACCGGCCGATGGATATCGGCGCGCGCGCGCGCGGTAAACGTTCGCGGAGAATCTCACCTCGAGAGGTAGACGACACACTCTAAAGTCGCGGCTCGCCGCACAATCGGAGAGGCGGTTCGCGCTCGACACCGAGGGGGAAACCGCGCACTTTGCTCTGCCCTGAGCGGCGACTCGCTTCAGACCAATCCCCCGTCAGCTCATCCTCACGATCCGACTCGTAAAATCCGGCTATACCCCGGACGCTGGTTCGGTACTGTCTCGGTTCGCTCGTTTAGACGCGCGTAAATCCACAGTTTCGCACACGTAACGTAGGTGACCGACGGTTAGCCCGGTCGCGGAAAATCTACGACGCCACGGCGCGCGGGACTATTTGCGCGTCGCGTAGGTTTACGCTAGAGGAATGACGCGGCCGCGCGGGAAACATCTGCCAGCTGGCCAAAGCCCCGCCCATAGAATACGCGAGTCTACTCGTACCCCCACCACCGTCGCCGTCCCACTCTCTTTCTCAGCCGCTTGGCGCGCGGTCGCGAGCGTAAGCGCCGTACACGTAGCCGACCATCTGTACACGAGCTACGGTCTACAGTCGGCGGGCTGCTCACACACAGCGAACGTTCTCACACCGCTGCGACGCAACGCGCCGCATCCCACCCCGCCAAGCTTCATCTCGCTTCGCCTCACCGCGTCGACCGACGCTCGCCCAACGCGTCTCGCCGCGCCGCATTTACGAGGCGCCGGACGTGACGCGGAAAGTAGACGACCACCAGTCGTCGTAACGCGTCATTTTGCACGATCTGTGCTCTGCGCATTCCAACATGTCGATCAATGCAGCATTGTTATTCTAATTACACGAATATAATCGCCTTATTTCTGCTGCACACTTTTTACGGAATGCTGCTACTTTATTGAAGGAACTGTAGTGTTTGGAAGATGCAACAAATCGATGAATCCGACGATTTTCTGATGCGTTTACAATTAATGATTATTACCCAGCACGACATCCTGCGGACAAATTTTAATTAATAATGTTCCACTGATAACGCGCGAAATTTATCGTCTAGGCGATATTAAATGTCTGCGTTACCGGCAAATGGTATTCAGAGAAGTGATAATCGATATTGTAAAATTTGATTTAATAATTCGAAATTCGCAGATTTTACGATAATCAAATATGTATATACCGCGAATTTGTGGCAATGTAGTTCTAATTTAATATACATATTTTAGAAAGTATCGGCGGCTTTTACGCGACATGTTTAATATTCCTTATTTTCTCAAATAAAGAAATTAGTGAAAATGGCAAACAATTTAATTTATAGCGTCCTTAATTCAATTCACAAACTGTTACGTCTTTTATCACATGGTATCTCATTAAGACCATAAAATATAAATGATTTTTTTTATTAAAAATTCATTAATTGCAACTTATTGAATTAGGTATATGAATTTAATATCAAATTTATTTAAGAGAAACCTCTCTACGATACTGAGTCTAATAAAAAAATTTCCCGCAATAATTGTAATCTTTCCTGGCAAATATCAATTTTATTTTCTTAACCCTCTATAGCCTACATATTTTTCACTCACGAAAACGTGGAATGTCACATTCTCTCTGTAAGTCTAATGCCACAATAAGAAAGACGTGTACAAATAGAGAAGCTGATATGTAACGTGACAATATACGGCATAGAGGGGTAAGATGCAATAACTACTACATATTTTTACAGCATATTTTCATTTTTTCTAAGCGCGTCAATAATGATAACGATAAAAAAAATTTCTGTATTATTAAGAGAGAGAGGTGCTTCTTGTAAAGTAACACCCTATTACAATCATCCAAACTTGCGATCATCTAAAATTAATGGCGAACATTCGAAATCGACATATAACGCATGATTTAAGTATTGAGATAATTATCGCAGATCCAAAATCAACTATAGTTTAAGCACATGATACGAGCTTTAAAACATAGTCGGCATTGCTCTTTTGTACTTACGGTTGTATAATTCTTACTCGACTAAAAACATAAATTTATATTCTACACGATAATCTCAGACAATCGTAGAGAAAGTATCGGGTAGTATCGGATATCGAGTAGTTTTCTTTCACTAAACCAAATTCTTAAGCGCTATGTTTTACATAAAAATAAAAGAATATTAACGAGCAAGACTTTTTTGTGCTCTCGCGCGCTAAATATAAAAAAAAAGCATAGAATTTGATAAATTAAGGTTAAAACTACTTTAATCCCTTTAATGCCCTTACATATAATTCTTCGATGGCGTAAGTTTAATAAATTGAGTAATATATCGCAACGTATCACGACATATAAATGTTACACGTCATTGTTTGATTCAGAAGCTCGCAAAAGTTAACGGAGAATTTTATCAGAAACAGAGATCAGAATCTCAGATGACTTAATGAGGATTCGAATCGAAAATGGTTTAAAATATATGCATTTGGTTTTACTTCCTGTTATTAAAAATCTGTGATGATTTGCGATGAGAATAGAAAATACAATGTCGATGATTGCCATTCATACGCAAAATATTCTTATAAAATAATCTTTTTTGAAAAATAATAGACGAAATATTTAATTTCTACAGATTCCAAATTGTCAAATAAATAATTAGCGAGCAACCACATTATTGCGTAGTACTAAAATAGTGTTTAAGAGCGGTATCCTTTAATTTCATTCTGACTGCTTTGATTAGTCTTAGAAGTGACTAAGCGATATATGGATATAATGTATATAATACGCATGCATCAGCCACTTTATAATTTACACATAAACAATACATAATCTTTAATCGTGATGCGCAACGTCATGTGTCATAGTTTGGGGAGAGATGGCTAAACTAACATATCACGCGCTACACATATAATATGTACAAGACTTACATATCTCGATTTCTTTCCCCTTCAGTTATATACAATTTTATTCTTATATATATAATATATATATATATGTATATATTGTATGTATGTGCAAAGTGAATTAGATGATAGATTTATTAAAATAGACAGAAGTACATTCCTCTGTAAAAAATTGCATCGTATTCCTTAACATTGATCGGTATTGAATTGATAAAAAGAAAAGTTGTTTGTACTTTGTGGTTGCTTTCTCTTTTTAATATATCTGTATTAAGTTACTGTGTCGAAGCATAACTGTAAAATGCGCAGCGCCTAAATTGTTATTTTCATTTAATATCTGAATGAACTCAATTTCATATAATGATTTGTATGTGGTTGATGCATCCGTATTTGTAATGCAGAGCAGCATGGATTTACAAATAATGTTGTGGTTGAAAGAAAAACTTCGTACAAAAACATGTTGCAAAAAAATATGTCACGTATTTATGCAGTATGTATAAGTGCAATATACGTACATTGAGTTTTCCTTATATGTGTTCAGGTATAAATATATATATGTGTATGTGTATGTATATGTATGTAAATGCATATTTATGGATATTTATAAAATGTGAGCTATCATTGTGAAAAATTTTAATTTCAATTTTTTTCTATAATAGAATAGGCATCATAAAATTAGATGCTGTTTATTTTAAACAGAGCAATTTCCATTCTAGAATGCAGTTCTTATGTAAGATTTATAATTATTCCTGTATGCATATATGTATATTTAATTTAAATATCTAATTTATTAGAAGTATTAAAATTAAGTAATGTCTTGTTTATTTTTATCAGAGTATTATATAATGTAAGTTCTCCTCAATATCATAACTTTTGCTTGAAATATTTATCTGTATAATAGATAGTTTGCAGTTAATAAATTTCTCATAAATAAATTATGCATATGGAATGAATCAGAATCGCATCCAGAAGACTTACTGTGAATTGACTTACTATGCTTCTATAAAGAATCATGTTTTAAAAAATAATTATAATAAATGATGTTGATGAAAAATATATTTATTTATTAATCAAATTAATGATAATTATAAACTTTAAACCAAGCTGATGTAATAAGAAATATGTGGCTGGAAATTGATAAGAAATACATATTGCAGTAAAGATTTTTTTGTAACAATCAATTGGCCTTGATAAAACGCATATTCTTTCCATTTTTTTGCTATGATAGCAGCAGTCGGGAATGATTAAAATCACTTTTTGAATTAATTAATCAAATTTAATAATATGGATTTACATAATAATAAAATTTTCTTATTGTCAACTCTTTACATAATGTGATAAATTAATGCAAAATAAAAAAATTATTTTTATTAATAAAATGTTTTATAATTGTTTATACAATTAAAGAAATACAGATAAAATTAAAATCAAATGACAGATATGATTAATAAATTACATTAGGATAATATTTAAAGGTATTAATTTTCCTTAACCATGACTTTTTTCTCCATTATATTTATTAAAAATATTTAGTTTCTTTTATATATAAGTCTATACATATTTAAAAAATAAAATGTTTAAATAATAGGATTAATATTGATTAACAAACATTTTATTTTTATTTTATGCACTCAAAAAGTAATAAATAACTTATTAATAAATAAATTATTTTTAATAAACATTATTTATATTTACCTAGACAAAGGTGTTAAAAATTAAATTAAGGAGGCAACTGCCCTCTAGAATGGTAAAATGTCTCTCAACTCATAATAAAATTAATAAGGCATACAGCATCTAAATTTTATGCGTTTTGGATTATAAAGAATTTATATATTATATATTAACATTCTCCTTCAATACATTAGGAAAGTACGTAACAAATAATACGTACACAATCGTATTGAAATAGAAATGATTTTGGGTGCCTTCCAACAAGAGATCCGGTATAACAATAATTATCCTTGTTCAATATTGGCGAACAACAAGGATATAATTATGTCAGACCGTGTCATCTGTATCTCTTATTGGAAGGTACTCTTTAATTATCTCACATGTCTTACCTGTAAATCCATGTCTAATTTGCATAATGATGGAACTTATTTATAGTGCTAACTACATACTAATTTTGTTATAATATTTTCTTCAATCCTAGTTTCAACCTTTCCTGAGCTGGATTCACTTTGATTTTTAATTGCTGAATTAAATCAAATATTTTTAGAGAAGGTCCAACTTTGAAACCTGTCAGGTCTATTATTTGGTCCTTAGTGAGAGTCAGCAAAGTCTTTCCATCTATTTTACGTTTACTGAAATTATCGCAATACGTCGCACAGTCATTAACTCGGAGAAATTGTGCAACATCAAAAACATTCCACTCAGATGGCACTAGATCACCAGATTCCGAACCTTTTTGCACACCATCTGCTAACCTTGGTATATATTTAGTACTTGCTGAAGTAACCTAAAAATCAAATAAACCAGAATTTAATCTGTAGTTCTGTTATCTTAAATATTTATGAAAAGAATAATAAGTAAACTTACATTTATATATGACGTAGCGGTTCTTTCTGGTTTCTTGGGTGGTGGAGAACTGTTTACTTCACTTGGTGTATCGTTCAATGCTTGACCTTGTCCAGTAGTGGGACTGGGTAAAGTTTGGTCAGGTCCAGCTGGCTCTTGTGCTGTTTCTGGTTCTCTGCTTCTTTGTTCCGGTAAACTTTCTAGATCACGTTCTCTTTCAATTTTCGTTCCTTGAGCAGGTTCTAATTCTCGCCCACGTTCACGAGACATACTAATACGTTCGCTCTGACGAGGTAGTATATTTTTGGAGCAAGTCATCTTGCAACTTTTCTTCAATTTTCTCTTAGCTTTACGTTTAAGGCCTCTTGGTGATTTCACTGCAAGAACATGTGTATAAATACAAGAACATAAAAAAAACAAAAACACAAATTACTTATCTATATTTACTTTGACCCATAGACATAATAAGAATAGATCGAGCATGTCCTCTACTTTGGCGTGAAGATCAGGTAAAAAAGGACCAAGAGCAAATATTAAACAAGAGAGCAAGATATTCACACCTTCTTACTCCCCCCCCCCCTCTTCGTCAGAAAGAGAAAGCTACAAATAATGGCATCCATTGTCCATCCTCTTCTACCTAGTCTTCACATTCCAAACCTCACACTCAGTCTATTCTTATTATGCTTATGCTTTGACTCACAATCAATCAGTAATTCGTGTTGCTTGAAATCCTTAAAAACGTCTGCATTTAAAATGAGATAGACATGTATTCGAGTTGGAAACAGAGAAAGAAAGAAGTAAAAATTCTGGATGTAAAAAGTGAAAGCGACACGAACACCTATGGATATGTATAAATACATAGAATTGGTATATACCAGTAGGACTAATGTTTTTTACGAGTACACGCGGCCCTTCCAATTTATGATCGACAAGGTCACACCACCCAACAGGATAAATATCTGGACTTTGACAATCTAACCACTGATCATATTCATCTTCCCAACCATCAAAATGTACTCGCAGTAATCTGTCAATCACCCTAGTAATAGTAGCAACACAAACTAATCTAGGATCCATTAAATCAGCAGCCTCCAATCTCATTCCTTCAATAAACCCATGTTGAGGAATTTCCTAAAAAAAATAAAAAAATATACACATAATTTATTTATCACAATTACAAATTAAAAATAAGAATTTAGAGAAAATAATTTACAGCACGAGCGTGACATAATAAATAGCACACTGGTCTATTATGCCAAAGGTTCCGGGTTTGATCCTGGTAGGAATTAAAATATTTACGTTCGTGTCTCCTCTCGAAAAAGGTAACCATCCGAAAATATCCTTGCACACACTCTCGAAAAATCCGCCGTTCGGAACCGGCATTAAAAGTAGGTCTCATATGCTTGTGATAATTAATTAGTGTACGCACCACAAGCATATGAGTTACATAGGCCAGGGGCCTAATGTAAGAGGAAAAACTAATTTATAAATATATAGAAAAATTACCCAATTAAATAACTGCATAGGAGCAGGTATGGTATTAGTTTCTGCTAGATATGCATCCCATGTGAATGTGGTAGGATCGTAACCCTTTGGTGGTGTTAAAGGTAGACCATGTTGGGCACAAAAGCCAATTGGAAAAATGCATGGCGAACACGAATGGTAGCAAAACCAATCAGCGCCGCTAGCATCTGCATCATAACTGTCAATGCGAATCATAATGTAATCCTTTTCTAGGACTTGCATAACCGTCGCCGCGCATATAGCCGAAAGATTGAGTGGATCAATGGCTTCTATTTTCATTCCTTCCTTAAACTTGTATGCGAGAATGTGATGATTCTTTGGCACATGAAAAAGATCTTCCGTTGCATCGTCTTCGGATAATTTTGATTTAGAAATACGATTCAAATACTCAGGATACGCATCTAGCGACTGCCCCACTTTCTTGGCCCAGCCAACAGGGTGTATGAGGGGCGAGTCTTCATGACACCAAAATCCGTTATCCTCAGGAGGCGAATCGTAATACCTTACGTGCAAACGTTTACCAACAATTTTTTGTATCGTCGCCACTTTCACTTGTGAGATTCTGTTTTTATCGACCACTTCCAAATGAAGACCACATCGAAACCGAGATTTCATACTATCGTTCACTTTATTATAGAAATTTGTTGGTAATGTCCTCGCGCCGGTTAATCGCCTCATTAAAAAATCCTTCCAATCTTTATATTTGTTTGCAATTGCTGAAAAAGAAAATCGATATACTAAATTTTCCCACACGCACTTTTCCAAGATTAATGATCATTCTGATCAAAAAATTTTTTTTAAATCATGCGTTATCGTTTTGCTATAATTTCGATTACGTACTGTTAGGTGGAATAAGAGGTTTTCCAATTGTAGCACACCAACCAACGGGATGTATGTCATTAGAACAAAGTGACACCCAAAAATCTTTGTCTGCATTGTGTCCAAAACCTTCATACCTTAACAGAGCTCTGTATCCACATATACGTAATACAGTTGCAACCCAAAACGAATCCGGGAAAGCTTCACATACTTCATCACAATCGGTATTTTCTACCTCTACTTTCATACCTACTGTGATATTATCCCAAATCTCTGATATAGGAGCCTAAAAAGAAAGTTGATAATACAAGGCATCTGTAAAAAAAATTGTCTAAAAGATAAACAAAAACTTCTTAGAGAAACTAACATGTTTAAAACAAGAGACTGGTGCGGCACAAAATCCAGATTCAACAAGCTGTGATGTCCAGTCGTAGGAACCTGCCATTTCCGCTGTTCTTTTTCTTCTGACCGGTAAATCTTCTGGCATTACTGGCTCTAATTTAACTTTGTCCTTTTCCGATTCTACGAATTCCTTAACATCTTCCTTAACTTCTTCTTTTACAACAACCTTGAAATTGATTTAAAAATAATTTATTAGGACCGTATATTGTAAATACATAACAAGAAACAAAACTTAATCTCCGATCAAAACTGAATCTCAAGTGCTTTAAATAATTACATGTGAATTTACTATTACGTTTGTAGTCTCTTGAATTGAGTGCCAAATTGGTTTTTTTCGAAAACGCAATCGAATTACTATAGTAATATCATAAATTAATTGACAAGCAATTAATTTAATAATTAATTTAATAATTGGATGCTTAATTGGCATTATTTTAATGTACTAAAAATCTATAAATAAATTTATTACAAAAAAAGTATTACCTTGAAAAACTAATTTAGTGTACAATTCAAAATACTACAAATGTGGTATATATAAATTCACATGTAATTATTTAAAGCACTTAAGGTATATTGTTTCTTGCTTATTGTATGTGTAGCTTTTTGTCACATATTTTCTATCTATAAATTCAGTATTAACTTACATCCACCGATTTTGTTTCAATAGAAGAAGTTTGATTTGTAGATATTGGCTGATCCATCGAATGAGATGGACTATATGTAGAGTCAGCAGTAGGTATCATGTATTCTGAAGAACGTGCACATGCTCTACTGCAAAATCTACGCTCCTTTGTATAAAAGGCATGTTTTACTCCAATAGCACCGCATTTTTCACAAACAGCTGTAAAATAAAAATTTAAGACTTTATGCAGCAAACATTTCCTACGATAAAAAGATATAAATGGTCAAGCACACACAGTTTAATATGTAAATCTTCTATTTCTTTTTTTAATAGCTGTAGTTTTAACAGAAAATTGTAGATTGCCGTGCCATTAAACGATATTTTTTGTTTAAATACATATTTTGCTTTTTACAATGATTACGCTTACCTATGCCATCTTTACGAATAGGAATAAAATTTAAATCAGTATGAGGCTGATAAGCAATTGGCGTTTTTAAAACAAGTCCTGGATGCTTTATAGGTTTTATTTTTCGATTGCGATTGTCTTGAGTAGTCTGAGTTGCCGCATTGCTCACAATTTGTTCCCGTTCTTCATCACCCATGTAATCTTCTAATGTTAAATAATCATTTATCTCGGGTCTTTCGGACTGTAAATCATAATCCTTAAAAATTAGGAAAATCATAATATTAAGAATACATGCATAAAAATTAAATTTCTTCTGTAAAAACAAAACTCACTTGCTGTATTTCATGAGTATCAACAGTATCCATTGCTTCATCAGGTTCGGAACACTCGTTTGAGAACTGTTGCGGTATGTAGCGCACCATAGTGGTAGAAGCAATATGATTTCTCAGATCTTCATAGGAATGTGAACCATGTGAGAAAAATGGGCTCTCGCTTTGACGGGGATCCAGCATCAGTTCGTGAGCAGGTTCCCCCAGCATCATATCTCCCATCCATACCATTCCTAGTTGTTCAGGAAATCCAGGGATGGAAGTATACACTGTATTCATACACATATCCATTCCTACATTCACATTATTTACAAATTGTTACTTTTAGTCGAAATAATTAACACAGAAATATTCTTTCGTAAATTCTGTTTATGAAGAAAATTGTGTAGTATTGTATAAATACTAGAATGTATTAGAAAAAAATCTTATTCCAAACTTAAGAGAGACTCCGTTTAAGTAATATACTTGTAGAAACTGAGATACACAAATAACATAAATTATTCAATTAATGTTATACTAATGACATATGTTTTAGACTTGGACAAATTCTATTATGGATGGTAATCTACAATCTCTATACTACGGAATGTAATTTCATTTAATATTCACCTGTAGCGCCGCGCATAATTACGAGAGAGCTATCGAGATAATAGTTTTTCCAATACCATTTATCCAAATATAGTGTACGCTAAAGTCAGGTTATCTTCTTCTCAACAATTTAATTAAAAAAAAGATAACGTGACTTTAGCGTTCACCATATCTGGATTCACATTATTGCAAAAACTCCCTAATGCACGATTTTATTGTAATTTTTTGCGCAAATTTGCAGATAGCGTTCAGGCTCCAAAAACGACGCTAGAAAATCTGAAGAACATATTTTTATTTAACCCCTTCTATCATATACTTGCGTGTTTCGCGCGTTTAATGGTCTCCGGCGAACGTTCGGTTCAGTACATAAATAAACGCGAAGGTTAATTCAAGAACATCGCGTCGTCGTTGAGAAGAAAACGATCGGCCGGTCGGAGGCGAAACATGCCGAATAGGAAAACAAGTGCGTACCATTAGATGCTTGCATGTCCATGACAAAGAGTCGTTCGTAGATTTCCTTGACGTTTTCCACTGGTATTACCGCAGTCTAGGCTTGTCGCAGTGCACTAGTCTCATCTCGACAGGCGCAAAACACATTGCCACCGCTTGGATTTCACTTTGCCTAAATCAGAATCAATCGAAATCCATTCTTTTTCGCGACATCCCCGAACAATAGGGCAAAACATTCGGCGGTAGGCTGTCGCTTCGCCCCCACTCCACTATTTTCGTCTTCCCTTGCCAAGATGGGCAATTGCCGCGCCCGAAAGGAACTAGTAAAAGATGCAGCTGTAGTAAACTAAAGATTTTACTCTATATGCTATAGTATACGTTACGTATACTATATATTTCGAGTAAAATTTTCCTCGAAAAGAAAGTTTTGAAATGTAGCCTAGAGTTCTATATTTATAAGGGCCTGTGTCCACGGTGCTAGAAATCTGTTCGACATCTTGGATGAAGAAAGAATGACCAATCGCATTGATTATGTGATCCAATTATTCAAATGTGATTTGTTAATTTTTTCTGTCCGAAATCTCGAACGACAGGGGAATGTTCGACTGTAATTGATTGGTTCTTACATTCTGATCCGTATCAATCATGAAACTTTATCCCTAGAATAAAAAGTGAAAAGTGAAAATTTTTATCATTGAAATTAATGGAGAAATTTTTCATTTTTTATTTTCCATCCTATAGATAAAGTTTCATGATTGATACCCCTCGATGGAAACTAGGTCTATATATTAAGCATAAAGGCGTAATTACATCTTTGATAGAAAAAAAAGCAGAAAAATAGCAGCGTAAAGATAAGTTTTCATGAATTGCTCAAATCGGCTGTTTCGGCGACAAAAAGGATCACGTGATCAAAATTAACAAATGATATTTGTTTTTGTCGCTAAAACAGCCGGTTTTGAACAACTCGTGAAAATTTACCTTTAGTTCTGATTGGCTGCTACTTTTCTGTCAAAGTGTAAATTCGCCCTAAGAATTATGATTCAAAACGTCCAAATTGAAAGTTTTATCGGGCTTTTATCTGATGTCTGTTGCGTTGCTTGAAATTCTGTAAAATTTTTTACATAAAATGAGATAATTATAGCTATATTTTGGTGTTAAAGATAGAGAAAGAGAAATAATGCCGAGTGTAAAAAGTGCAAACACACACACAACGTAAATATCTCGAGGTCGATTGTGTATCTTGGATTAAGACGGGGAGCACAGACTCTTGTATAATGCATAACATAGAATGCATAAAAAAATGAACCAATCAAAGTCCTTTATTTCTTTCCTTTCCATGAAATAAAGGATTCTGATTGATTTTCCTATGTTTCACATGTTTATGCGTCAACAAGAGTCTATGCTTCCCGCTCAAGGTGAAACTTACAAAAGTGAACAAACTTATTAGCGAATACTTATAACTTAATTGGTCAATATCTAAAGAATTTGCTCATTTTTATA